TGATGATAATTTCAAGTTTTGGTTAGAGCTTTTTCATCAGATTATGCCTCATGTTGAAATAATTTACAACCAAATGCAATCTTAAGAAATTAGTGTGTTTAAAGTTAATGAATATATAACAAATTTCAAAACTGCTATTTTAGAATTGAGAAACTCAAAGTACTGTGAGAATCCTTCAAAGACACTCATGGCAGAAGCTAAGGAAGTGTGTGACTGTATATGTGTTGATATAATGGACAGATATTCTTCCACTGAACACTTAGCTGCTATATTGTTCAACAAGAAATGCTTCACTAGTTTTAAGAATGAATATCCCACAGAAGAGATAGTACTGACCACTGAAACATATCCCATGATTGACAAAGAAAAGCTTGAAACTGAACTAAAAGTATTCTATTGTAGGTCTGATATTCATGAATATTGCACATTAATTGAGCTGCTGAAATGTATCTTTGAAAATAATGTAGATGATGTTTTTTGTGAAATTATGAAACTGATGAAAATCCTCTTGACAGTTCCCATGACTACCTCAGAGGCAGAGCGCTGCTTTTCAACATTGAAAAGAATAAAAACTTTTCTAAGAAGCACTATGAATTCGGAAAGACTAAATGCGCTTGCAGTGCTTTCAGTGGAGAAAAATTTCCTCAGTTGTCATCCAGAGATCAAGGAGAAAATTATTGATCTTTTCATGCAAATTAAAACAAGAAGAATGGATTTAATTTTTAAGTGAATAGATTAAGCTTGAACTGTAACAATTTAGGTTAAAGTAAGTAAAAAAATGTTTGATTTTGTTCTTTTAGGATTTTACCAAGTTTCTGAATAAATTTTCTGGAGCAGCACCCCCACTAATTTTAGCTACGAGCCAAAACTGATTATGACATAAAGATAGGAAACAGATGTTTGTGAATGACTATAACAAGTGAAACCCTGATTCAGGAGGAAATTAAGAAGAGATTGAATTCAGGTAATGCTCACTACCATTCAGTTCAGAACCTTTTGTCTTCTTGTCAGCTGTCTAAAAACATAAAAACTAGAATACACAAAACTATAATTTTTCCATTGGTTCTGTTTGGGTGTGAAACTTGGTCTCTGATATTAAGGGAGGAACATAGGCTAAGATAGGTAGAGAACAGGGTGCTGAGGAGAGTATTTGGACCGAAGAGAGATGAAGTGACAGGAGGTTGAAGAAAACTGAATAATGAGGAGCTTCATAACTTGTACTCTTTTCCAAGTATAATTACAATTATCAAGTGAAGGAGGATGAGATAGGAAGGACATGTAGCATGAATGGGGATGAAGAGGAATGCATATAGGATATTGGTGGGAAAGCCAGAAGGAAGGAGACCACTGGGAAGACCAAGGCAAAGGTGGGTGGACAATATTTAAATGGATCTTAGAGAGATAGGATGGGATGGTATGGATTGGATTGATCTGGCTCAGTATAGCGACCGGTGGAGGGCTCTTTTGAACACAGTAATGAACTTTCAGGTTCCATAAAATGCTGGGACCTTCTTGAGTAGCTGCACGATTGGCACCTTCTCAAGAAGGGCTCAGCTCCATGAGTGAGTAGACTAATATCTGAAACATCACATGCCTCTGCTGGGAAAGTATTCCTGATAGTTCTTTGAAAATTGGCAAGCAGCCAGCAAACCAGCATTTTTATTCATCTGATGAAATTGTCACATTCTTGAGAGTATGTAAAATGAAATAAAAATGTTCCATATTTCTTGGAAGGGATTACAGCAAAGCTCAGGAATCTTGTATCCCCCAAAAGCTTCTCCAGCTGTTGAGCAGGTAAAGTCTCATCCTTTTAAAAAGTACTTTTTAAGATGTTAGATTTAAGGTGGAGGTACTATTTTCCTCAAAAGCTTCAGTAAACTTCTATCAGACTACACAGCATCACATCCTAAAATATAGTACTTTTCTTATTTTGTAAGATGTTTGTGCCATTTTATATATTGAAGGTAAAAGACCAGATTAAACTGAACCCTATGAGTAATGTTTAATGTTTATTAGGTGTACTCTTCAGCTTGTGTAGTTGGGAGGCCTAAATTAGTTTAACTGTATCTGTTACTGTTGAGTAATGGAGTAGTTCTTATTTGGGTGATCTGTCTGTATAAGTCTCTTTAATACAATTATATGATAAATTTCTTACAGGGTGGAGAAATGCCTGTTTCTTAAACCCTACACTGTTTAAAATTATCAAGTTCTCTTTCTGCAGATCAGAGCAGAAACTTGTGATAATCATATGTAGAAACATTCTTAGTTTGTATAGGCATGTGTTCATTCATATTAGTTTTGTTACGAAACTTTTCATGATGACATTCCATAATATGCTTTAAGGAATCTAGTCATACATTAAAAGAGAAGCTCCGTTGTGTGTTAGATAATTATCTAATTATAATCGGTAATGCACCAGAGGAAACAATTATGGTCTACTATCGGTATGTAAAGTTGTCACAGCAATAAAACTGATTCATCCTCATTGTTCATAACTTACATAAAGTCTTTGATTCTGTCACCAATACTACTACTACACCAGCAGAAGTTACATAACATTAAATAAGGTATGAAGATGAATGGATGCTTAATTGAAATGTGTATGGAGGGGAGTAATTGTAGCCTGTTTCTCGATACTGTATCAACTTTTGCTTGTAGCAGCTAAGAATATTCATGAAGAACGAATCAGAACGGCTGGTGGTCTTGACAAGATTCATTGTGCACCTTCTGAGTGCAAGTCAGCCATGTTACTGTTCCACCCTGCTCTAATATGAATATGCATGAACTACTATGTGCATATTTCCCTTTGCTTTGGTTCAGTAGTTTGAAAATGTGAATAATGGGGACAGAAAATTATGAGTTAAGACAGCAGCTGTGCCCAGTATTTCTCAGCAAAGTAAGTGAGCAGGTAAATGTGCCATCATCATCATCCTTTCCAGTATTACGCCTGTTACGGACGTTACTTGTACAAAACAGAGACCTTCATTGCAAGTGTATTCAGTAAAGTGAAACAGTCAAACTGTGACATACACAGGGTGATTCACTACTTAATAGCTTATCTTCAGGAGCTTATGCCTCAGGTCATTTACAGTCAGAAATGTCATATAAGCATACGTCCAGTTTTTAACAGTCATGGAGCAATAGATATTTTAAATAAAAAAATGGTTTGGATGTAAGTAAGTTGTTGTGCAAAAATTAGAACATTTTTGGGCAGAACTGTAAGGTTTCTTTGTAATGGGCCCAACTGACTAGGTCTATCTTGCCCCAGCCACCCGAGGATGGAGACAGATCCAGTCTCCGAAATGTGGTTTTTTTGTCTTGTATATACCAGACGATGGATAGAGTCATAATGTTTACATGCTACAGTGTATTTCTGCCAACATGAAATTACCATGACGTACATCAAAATCAATTCTGAAATTCAAACATCCATTAAGAATCAGACCTATATTTATGATGTTTCTGAATGAGAATATCAAGTATTATAAGCTTCTGAGGTGAAGACATAAATCACTCTGTATATTTGATATTATGACTGGCATAAATATATGTGTCTAAAGATTACACATTTGGGAGGTCTTAATTTGTCTTATTAAATCTCAATGAGATTTAAAAATGCAGTTGTATGAATAATGAAAAATACAGTCTGAAGCTAGACCTTTATTCTCATTTTATCCATTTCCTGAGGCACACTGTCACATTTTATTGCAAACACCAATAGACAGTGACATGTACTTAGGTAAGTCAATAAGTTAATTACAAATGGTTATAGAACTTAAACAAATAAGAGTACTTATTTAAAAAATGTTTTTATTTCTCAACATAATCTCCCTGTACATTGAGGCACTTGTCCCATCGTTTCACAAGCCCCTGAACACCAGCAGCATAAAATTCTTTGGGCTGCTGTCGGAACCAGGTGGTGACTGGGATCATGAAGGCATACTGCTTACCACNGTATAGCCCCGACCTTGCTCCAAGCGACTTCCATTTGTTCGGCCCTCTTAAACTATCTTTCGGCTGAACATTTTCTCGACGACGAAGCTGTAGAAAGGAAAGTCACTGCCTGGTTCCGACAGCAGCCCAAAGAATTTTATGCTGCTGGTTTTAGGGGCTTGTGAAACAATGGGACAAGTGCCTCAATGTACAGGGAGATTATGCTGAGAAATAAAAGCATTTTTCAAATCAGTACTCTTATTTAAGTTCTATATCCATTTGTAACTTACTTATTGACTTACCCTCGTACAACCATTTACCACTTGCATTTTCTTTTTATAAATATCATGTAGTGTACTGTCTCAAGAAGCTGATGTTTCAAGATATATAAGTGATACAATACTGAAAGACTGTTTCAGACTTCTTAACCACATAGTATTTATAATATTGTCATATGTATAAATGACTACAGATGGAGTTTGGTTTAACTGGATGTATTGATCACACTACAGCTATCAAAAATACTCAATTTAAATGAAAGAATGTTGTATTACGGTTTGATCTATCCTCATCTATTTTATGGAAGAACAGTATGGGGACCTAGTGCTAAGACCCTCACTAGAATAATTTTTGTACTACAAAAAAAGGGCAGTAAGATACATTGCAGGGCTAAAACATGTGGAATCATGCAGGGATAGCTTTAGAAATCTAAAGATACTAACAGTATACTCGCTATATATACAAGAAATAATCCTACGTGCAAAAAAAAAAAGTGTAACTGCACAGTGAATGAACAAATACAAACATGTAACACAAGAAATAATAAAAACTGTCATATATATGGGCACAACTTAGAACTTTATAATAGTAATCCTTCAGTAACTGGCTGTATCTTTTACAGCAAATTGCCTAACATAAAAGAAATAGAAAACAAAAATCAGTTCACAAGGGAATTGAAGAAGTTACTTATTCAGAGGTGCTATTACTCAATGGAGGACTATTTGAATGATGAATTCTCGAATATTGGTTATTTATATAAGCAGAAATATATAGTATATAATGTAGTATATCTTACATAATTTTTTAGTATTAAGATTGTTGTAATTTAATAATGTATATTAGCTGAAATACTTGTCCTATATAAAAGAATGAATGAATGGTGAGAATTATTTTGAAGGCAAGAAATAAGGACTCGTCATCCATCGTTCAGGCAATTAAATATTCTGCCTTATATTCTCATTTTATATTTTCTGTATCAATTTTTGTAGTTAAGAAATTAGATATACTTACATTTAAATCTGGTATACACAACATTAACACCAGACAAGGCTTTGACTTATATATTTTCCAATTAATAAATTAGTTAAAGTGCAGAAGAGTGTATACTATTCATGGATTAGGATATTCAGTAATCTACCACAACACATCAGGAATCTGTTAAATTATATTAAATATTACAGGATTAATAAAAGAATGAATGAATGGTGAGAATTATTTTGAAGGCAAGAAATAAGGACTCTTGTCATCCATTGTTCAGGCAATTAAATATTCTGCCCTCATATTCTCATTATATATTTTCTGTATCAATTTTTGTAGTTAAGAATTTAGATATATTTACATTTAAATCTGCTATACACAAAATTAGCAGCAGACAAGGCTTTGACATGTGGGAACTGCCCACATTCAAGCGTGACAACGCGAGCTTCATTGCTTAGCAACAACGAGTAAACAGTGGTTGCTAAGCAATGAAACTAATTAATAAATTAGTTAAAGTGCAGAAGAGTGTATACTATTCAGGGATTAGGATATTCAATAATATATCACAACACATCAGGAATCTATTAAATTATTAAATAGTACATGATTTATAAAAGAATTAATGAATTAATGAGTTGGTGTTGTTTCCTTCTGCCTCCTTTTTAGCAAAATCTTCAACATGGCTGGTGTGGGGTTGCTGAATACTGACGTGTCAGCTGTTTGGTGCCAGTGTTTTGTTCGTTCTGACACTTCTGGTAAAGATGCTGTGAATTCCTGAATCATCTCATTTGGCAAATGTTCTATTAGCACCACTGGTTCATACTTGGTTTGGATAGTAGAAGGCAGGTTACAGTTCAGTGTTGCATGTTTTTTTACCTGCTTTTTAGAATTGCCAGAAACAATATTCTTCCCATTAAACCATTTGAATAGTTTGAATACTAAAGAAGGCGAATTTTGAATCCTATTAGTTGCACAAGGTTGCTGCAGAGTACTGTTATCTATTTTCTTACGCTTCAGTGCTGCTGTATTTTCAGGATTGTCCATTGCTCTGCGTTTACGTCCTATGAAGTTTGTGAATGATGATGTGTCAACTGTCTGTTGCCTAGGTTTTGTTAGTTCTGACAGTTCTGGTAAAGATGCAGTGAATCTCTGGATCACATCATTTGACAGACGTTGCTTTGGCACCACTGGTTCATACTTGTCTAGGCTAATAGAAGGCAGGTTACAGTTCAGTGTTGCATGTTTTTTTTCCTGCTTTTTAGGATTGCCCAATATGATTTTCTCCCAAGTAAACGACTTATATGTTTGGAGCACTGAAGATTTTTTAATCCTTCTATTACTTGCATAAAGTTGCTGCAGAGTATTGCAAACTACTTTCATATGCTCCAGTTCTGCTGTCTTTTCAGGATTCTCTGTCGCTTTGCGTTTATGTCCTATGCGGTTGCTGCATGATGTGCCAACTGTCTGTTGCCTATGTTTTGTTAGTTCTGACACTTCTACTAAAGATACTGTGAGTTTCTGGATCACATCACTTGAGGGACGTTTTATTAGCACCACTGGTGAATATTGGCCATTTTCAGGATCCTCTGTCGCTCTGCATTTATTTCCTTGATTACTGTTCTCAATAATTCTTGTAAGTGGACTATCTCCAAACACAAGCATTCCATCATCCACATAACCAGAATCTTCAACACCCTGCTTCAGCAGATTTCTACAGTAAGCATAGCTTGGCTTTGTTTCAAAGTTAAGACTGGCTACATACTTAAGGAACTGGCTCAACACAGTTGGTGGTTGTGAATTAGTGAAGCACTGGCGCATGAGTAGAGCAATGTTGGACATGAAGCTGTTCTTTTGAGAATGGATGTACTCTGGATCTTCTTTGTCTCCCCATGGCAACACTCCACACAGCCACTGAATCATGTTGTAGCCAAGGGTTTCTAGGTCTCCACGACGAGAGAATGCACCTATATGTGCATCTCTGCTGACATAGTTTAAGGTTCCAGCATGCGCTTTTCGCTGGTCATAGACATATTCCTTATGAACACCATTTTGATCCAAATAACGGCTGGCTATACCAAAATCTAGTAGATAAACATAATTTTCTGTGCCCTTATGATACCCCAACAGCAAATTGGGGGCTTTTATGTCTGCATGGACGTACCCACGACTATGGATGTATTCTAATGCGTCCAGAATTTGTATACCAAGGTAACATACAGTCTTAACTGGGAATCTCCCATTCTGTGTTAACAGTTTGTCAAGATCCAGGCCATATCTTTCCAGCACTAGAAAGCGATATTTTTGGCCTCTGTAGACATGTGAGCCAGATCCTATGTAGTGGGATAATCCTACATGTTTCAAGTTCCTTCCCTTCTTCCAATCATTAATCATATCTGATTTTGCCACTCTTAGGTAACAGTTAATTTCCACAAACAGAGGTCCATTTTTATGTGGCTCTACTTTTACTACATGGTCTGCATCTGAACCCACAGGTTCGTAAGCATTGCTGGATGCGAGATAAACTTCACCAAAGCCTCCAATACCTATGGATCTACCAAGTTTCCATTGGTTTCTGGCAAGATCAATCAATACCTCTCCCTCAGAAATAGGATCAGGTAATATATTACCATTTGCGGCTACTCTCTTCTTAGGTTGTTCCATTTCTGCTCCAGTAGCACGTTCCATAATTCGGTGAGGCATTACTGGTATTCCTAGTTTATGTGAAACCTTCAAAATTGCCTGTGCGAAGCACTACGTCCTTGGCTGGTCGTAACTCTTAGCGGCTTTCGGCACTGTGAGCACCTAAAGAATGGCGACCTCGTTATGAAGCCTGTGGTCTGTTCGAGTTGGACAAATGGTAAACGCCGCTTCTAACAGTATACTGTTACACGTATACAGCAACAGGGCCGATTTTGCAGAAAACGTGACTTCCGACTCTTGCACGAATAACTTGTACACAAAACCGTATTCCACCGACAACTCCAGACAACTGTCGCTTCACGTAATAATTACGTAATGATCTCTCAATATTTATAATATTATGCATTATTAAAAGTTCAGATATTCATGCGCGCAAAATATAGTTCGACCATGAAGGTTATAACAAACATGTTAAGAAGCCGAAGTTGGGCTTTTGCGATAGAATGTAACAGAACGTTTCAACGTTAGCATTTAATAGAACTTTATTTTTTGACTTGGATGTAGGAAAATTTGTGACGCCGTTTAGATTGGTAAAACTACGCAGCATCGTTCCAGAATTACGTAATCGTAATCTTCACATTTAATAAAGTAGGTACATGTTCGATGCATGTGTGTGTGTGTGTGTGTGTGTGTGTATATATATATATGAACGCATTACAGCTGAACTAAATTAATCCTCCACGTTACAAATTGGAACAACTTGTGTAACTAGAAAACTAGAAAACACCGTACGCAGATACATTTAAACGCAACCTTGGTCTCGAACGTCTCGAAGTTTTCATTATGGTCTCGTTGTTTAGGAGAGTTCAACAATATTAAAATGGCGAATCGTAGGTCTGTTTTAGCTGCATCGATAGAACCGATTCCTACAGCAAATGATCCATTAAGAGAGCTTTTTGAAGCGTGTAAAACTGGAGATATTTCTAGAGTTAAAAAGCTAATATCGCCTCAGACTGTAAATGCAAGAGATACAGCAGGGAGGAAATCAACTCCTTTACACTTTGCAGCTGGTGAGTGTTGTCGTTTTTCTCATTGTCAATATTTCCATCAGGTACACTACAATAAGTAAACGTTTCGAGATGGTGCATTCATTTTGAACTAAATATTTTATTATATCACTTCTGTATGTTGTGGATGACGCAATTTAACCATTTAAAGCACTAAACTGATACAGATTTAAAAAAATACTTATTTGGTTACACGAAAATGACTTTGTATACGTATTCATTATTGTGTGTAAGTATGAATGCGATTGAAAGAGGAACTTAAAATTTTTTATACCGCAGTGTTTCTTTGTTTTTCGAGTGGTATTGAATTTAAATGTATTAATAACAGTTACTTTCTATAGTTGTATTTACATCTCAGTGTCTCTCTTTGCAACACAACTGGAAAACGAACCCACCATAATGCATTAGTGTGAAGTAGTAGATTTTAGCTTATGCCATGTTCAGTCATAGCATAGATTATAAGTAAGTAAGTACTGTTACAGTCATTTGCTTTCTTTTTGTTAGTAGTTAAGCAGTCAGGAATTTAATTCTTCAATGGATGTTAGGCTATGGACGTCGAGATGTTGTAGAATTTCTTCTGTCTACTGGAGCATCAGTTCAAGCTCGTGATGATGGAGGACTTCACCCGCTTCATAATGCTTGCTCATTTGGGCATGCCGATGTTGTAAGGTTGTTGCTTGAAGCAGGTGCTAATCCAAACACTCGTGACAACTGGAACTACACGCCCTTGCATGAAGCAGCCATCAAGGGCAAAATTGATGTCTGTATAGGTATGTTATGTCTTGCTGCACACTTAATTAAGAAACTTAATGTGTATTTTCTAGTGTAATATGTTTATAAGATTATGTACTAAATTAATACACATATTGCAGTAACAGTAAGTCAACTCCTTTCTTTGTCATCTGCATCCACTCTTTCATGACATTGTTATATCTTTTCAGTTAAATCTTTTTTAAGTTTTTTATGTGTGTTTGTTACTTTTCAACTGGAAAACTTTAAATATTTCTATAACCAGAAAAGGCTGCTGTGACTGATAGATGGAACATTGTGTACTTGGACATTACATGTGTATTTGATTGACAACTGTTGTGATAGTGGTTTAAAAAAAAAGTGTTTGGTGCCTCTGAAGATGATCCAAATGGATCAAAACATGTAAGGCTAGTGAATCATCAAGTGAGATAACTGAAATAGTCACATTGGACGGACTTGTCTTTTATAATTGTAACTGTTAGTGTGACGGACCAAAATGAAACAAATCAAAGACCTAGAATTGCTAAGTAAGACATCTAATAACACTCTCTTAGAAGACTTATAAAAAATAATATTGCAAAATTTTAACCAGCACTATTCAGTTAGCATATAAATTGCATTATAATAAATTAATATCTCATTCATCATATAAAATGAAAACAGCCTGGAATGTTATCAGATCCTTAACTAATAAACGATCTAATACTAAGGATGAATTTACGTTGAACATTGAAAGGAAACTAACTAAAAATCCTCAAATTCTGGTATTATTCTAGTATTACATTATTTAACGCTCTACCCGTCAATGTCAAGCAAGTTTGACATGACATTAATAAATTTAAACATAAATTGGGAAAGGTTCTTATAGAAAACTCTTTTTATTCTGTTGAAGAGTATCTTGATAGGAATAATAAATTTGATCTTTGGGGGGCTATCCCAGTAATTATAACTTTGTATTTTAGTTTGCATTCATTCGTTTCTTTTATATATTTTAATTGCTTTTTATCTTATGCTAAGATAATCTTATATCAGTGTAATATTCTGATAATTTCTATATCCAATGTTTATGTACGTGAATGGATTGATGAAGGATAATAAAACATAAATAAATAAATTTCCTAGGCAGTTTGGAAAGTTACAGTTCAAGAAACACATTGTGACGTTATGACAATATAGCTTGAGAAGTGAAGCCATCTGCTGCTAGGCAGTGGAAAAATCACGTCATTTTTCCATGGCAACAAACATGTGAGACCACAGTAGAGAAACTGTTGTGCCATTGCTAGGCAGTGTGGTGTTGTGTTTTCTCTTTGGTCCATGCCGTGGTTATATAACAAGTTAGCCATGACTTGGAACTAGACACTGCGCACCATTGGAAATTTTCCAAGGTGCTCACTGGTCTGTGATTTGCATACAGCTTTCAGCCTTCTGTATGTATATGATTACATAACAGAATTGTGCAGGCAACAAGGAGAAGCCATACAAAATCATGAGAATGAACATGTTCGCTGTATAGGAAAAGGTGAAGCCAGACATGGAAAATGTGACAGGCTTAAACTTGGTGGTGGGCAAGCTTATGACCGTTCAAGTGACTAAGCTACTGTTGTAGCATAAGATATGTACGATAGGCACAGTCTGCTCTGCAGCGACTGTACTGATGGAAGACTTGAATGTAGTGCAAAAGGAAGAGTTTTTAATAACGTGTTATATGTGCAAAATATACGCCTGATGAAAAGCCACACATATTTATAAGAGACAGACCCATCTTCTCATCAGAGAGGATGTTACATAAGGACTATTACTGCAAGGGTTCAGTTGAAAAAATCTCTGGTGTTGGGTCTCAAGGTGGTTGATGCCAAGATGAACTGATTGGCAGTAAACCACCAGTTGTAAAGTAACTTTGACTTTGGTTTTGGAAGCAGACAATTGGAGCCACAAGTTAGGTATGAGGCAGTCACCAGCTGGGAATAATATGAGCAGGAGAGGGCACTGTTGATTCTGTTACCAGCCAATGTTGTTTACAGCCCAGTGTCAGACTGAAGTCAGTACAGGACATTCAGGTGCATGTTATAGCTGATTATAAACAGTATTCAGCTTATTATTCCTTATAAGGAGTTTATGCTCATCTGTGTGCATTCAGAAATTCTAACATAGTAGGAAAGATGTTTGCTGAATTTTTAGGTAGAAATTTTTAATATTTGTAATCTGAAATGATACTGCAGTAGCGACTGAACATAACTAAACATTCAGAAGCTCTCTTCAAACAAATTTATTAAATTAGTGCTGTAAATAAAATAATAGTAATTTCAGATGTGTTAACTGTAACAGGTAAATTTAGTTACTGTACTTTTATCTTTACTGGTGATGTCTTGCAATATTGCAGTGATGTGCATTTATGTGATCTAGCTGATCTAGTGTTGCACTTCTGGGTACTAATATTATTACGCCTGATTAAAATGTAACCACCAGCCCTGTAGTACCAGAAGATTTAAAATCTATGTTCCTTGACAGTGAACTTGGCTAAATCCGCCAGCCAACCTCGTGGTGCTGGGAGATTTAAAGTCTCCTTTCCCCCCAGCTTCACAGTTGAAACCACTGTGTCTTATAACTGTGTATCTGCTTGCCTCTTCTGTACGCTACTATACTGAGTGTATGCATTAAAATGGATTTCAGAAGTCATGGTTGTTGCATAATTTGCACATGAGTTTGACATGATTTCAACATGAATATGAAGTACATGATCTTACAGGCAGTGTTTTCTGGTTTTATGAAAACTCGAACCACATACAAGTGTTGTAGGACAGTATATGTCAAGCAGAATAATGCCATATTTTTCAAAATGTAGCCCTCTTACAACATGGAGCAGATGCCAATGTTCGCAACACTGAAGGTAAAACTGCATTGGAACTGGCAGACGCTGCAACAAGGCCTGTGCTCACTGGAGATCATCGGAAAGAAGAACTGCTTGAAGCAGCTAGATCTGGAGCTGAGGATCGCTTGCTTACCGTGCTGAACCCGCTGAATGTCAACTGTCATGCTAGTGATGGCCGTCGCTCAACTCCTCTGCATCTTGCAGCAGGATACAACCGTAATCGAGTGGTACAGTTATTGCTGCAGCATGGGGCAGATGTCCATGCAAAAGACAAGGGGTGAGGATTTTGATTCCTATAGAATATTTTTTACCAAGATCAATTTGGAATGCATTGGCTGTATCTTTAATGTTGATGTTATACATTATATGCATAATTGTAATACTACTGATTGGTTTTACAAATTGTCAGAACTAAACAATATCTGAATTTAAGGTTCATATTTGTCTGTGTTTCCAAGAGCTACATAAGGGATAGTAGGAGCTGTGGTAGCATAATCGGTATAGCCACTGGCTATGGGCTGGACGACCGAGGGTTTGGAGTTCAAGTCCCAGTAGGGTCAAGAATTTTCTCTTCTCCATGTCATCCAGACCAGTTCTGGGGTCCACCCAACCTCCTGGCCAATAGGTACTGG